GCTGCCTGTCCGGCACGGATGATTGGAAGGGGGCGTTTGCCGAGCGATAGGCTGGGGAAGCGAACCGGCCTGGAGGGGGTAGCTTTTGGCTGACGTCTACCAAATTGAATTTTCGCGAGCTACATTTCACCTGCAGGCTATTTACTTAACATTGCAACGGCTTTATTGGGTGTTTTGAATGTTTTTCTTTGTAATATAGGATTTTCTCATCTGGGCCGTACCAAAAAAAACTGACGGCATACACACACACACACACACAACAGATTATAGATGAATTCGGACCTTGAAGGCATGGATTTGAAAGAAAGCAAAACTCCAGGTGTATAGTATTTCTTTTAAAAAATCCAGTTTTACTTCTTTAAAAGCTTTAAGTGCATGTTAGTTTTGCGTATTGAAAGCAAAGCATACTCCTATAGAATGCTTTTATGTAGAATGATGGGCCTCGACATTTAACGTTACACATTTATTAGACAGTTTTGTCATTCTTTGAGTTGAGTGGTAAAAGTAATGGTGTTCTTTTGAATGGTCTTTTAGGACATCATAAATGTAGCCTGATCTCCTTGTCTCTGGCTTTCATTTGTGTCACATAAAGCAGAGGGCAGTGTGACCTGTCATTCGGAAACAAGAGGGTCACTTAACTGCGCCTCTCTCGTCTGGTATAATATAATATGTTACGGATAACATTTGCCTTTCTAAAGTGGTTTTCTGTGTGTGTTTAGAGGTGTTCGTTCTAGATATTTTTTCAGTTGTTTAAGTTGTTTTTTATATACTTTATTATTGGAGTTGTTGGAGTTAGAATTAGAATGTCATAATAAAAAACAAAAAAAAACAAGGAAATAGTTATAATGCAAAGAAAAGACACAAATTATAGTAGTAATAATAGTAATAATAATAGTATTAATAACAATAATAACTAGAAACTTGCAATGGCTGAAGCCATTGCGATTGACTGCGGAACAGATCTAATGTGGAAATCTGCTAAAAAAAATCCTTGAAATCCTTTAAAAGGCCTTGAAACTGTTAAAATACTTGATAGATATTTGAAACTCCTGAAGTCCTTGAAATTGTTGAAACCTTTAAACTCCTGAAATCCTTGAAACTGTTGAAACATTGAAACTCCTGAAATCCTTGAAACTTTTTTAAACCTGGAAACTGTTGAAAGTGTGGAAACTCCTGAAATCCTTGAACCTCCTGATATCCTTGAAACTGGTTAAATTCTTAAACAGTTGAAATCCTTGAAACTACTGAATGTATTGAAAGTGTCCTTGAAACTGAAAAATCCCCTCACCGCTGAAACAATTTGGTTCCTGTAACTAAGGAAACCTGGTCTGTGGTCATTATCTGGTGGTGGTCTGAGTCTTCGTTTGGGTCTTGGTCTGGTGGTATAATGCAACCTATTAGGTTGCATTATACTGGTTTACATGTAAAAATCCCTATTAGGTTGCATTATACTGGTTTACATGGAAAAATCCCTATTAGGTTGCATTATACTGGTTTACATGGAAAAATCCCTATTAAGTTGCATTATACTGGTTTACATGGAAAAATCTCTATTAAGTTGCATTATACTGGTTTACATGGAAAAATCCCTATTAGGTTGCATTATACTGGTTTACATGTACAAATCCCTATTAAGTTGCTTTATACTGGTTTACATGTAAAAACCCCTATTAGGTTACATTATAGTGGTTTACATGTAAAAATCCTTATTAAGTTGCATTATACTGGTTTACATGTAAAAACCCCTATTAAGTTCCATTATACTGGTTTACATGTAAAAACCCTATTAAGTTGCATTATACTGGTTTACATGAAAAAAACCCTATTAAGTTGCATTATACTGGTTTACATGGAAAAATCCCTATTAAGTTGCATAATACTGGTTTACATGGAAAAATCCCCATTAAGTTGCATTATACTGGTTTACATGAAAAAAACCCCATTAAGTTGCATTATACTGGTTTACATGGAAAAATCCCTATTAAGTTGCATTATACTGGTTTACATGGAAAAATCCCTATTAAGTTGCATAATACTGGTTTACATGGAAAAATCCCCATTAAGTTGCATTATACTGGTTTACATGTAAAAAACCCTATTAAGTTGCATTATACTGGTTTACATGGAAAAATCCCTATTAAGTTGCATTATACTGGTTTACATGAAAAAAACCCTATTAAGTTGCATTATTACTGGTTTACATGGAAAAATCCCTATTAAGTTGCATTGTACTGGTTTTACATGGAAAAATCCCTATTAAGTTGCATTATACTGGTTTACATGAAAAAAACCCTATTAAGTTGCATTATACTGGTTTACATGTAAAAAACCCCTATTAAGTTGCATTATACTGGTTTACATGGAAAAATCCCTATTAAGTTGCATTATACTGGTTAATTGGTTGCATGATACTCTGAGACAAGCCCTGCATGCGACCCTTGCCAACTGCTGAAGTCCCATGCACCTGTAGCAGTACCTTGCACCACTTGACACATCTATGACACTCTGACCCCTGCTGCAATCCTTTGCCTCATGATGAAATCTTGACACTGTTGGCACTAATAAGACACCTGTCGCCTGTCTGCCGAGGCACGTCTCTAAAATGCCTGGGGCCTCTTAAAATCGCATTGCAGCATTCTAATGCAGATTTTTGTACGCTTGCGGAAAACAAACCGGAACTCGTGAAGTCCCAAACGTATAGCAATCATATCCCAAACAAGTGGACCGTTGGCTGACTCCATGTAGGCCCATGATGCAACTGTGCCCGTGTGCAACGTTGTCCCCAACCCCATATGCCGGAATATAACGAACTCCCCCAAAACCAAAGGTAGATGCGGGCAGGTTCCGCAGTCAATCACTCAAAGGATAATAGACTTTAAACACAAATCCATGACAGCTTTCCCTTGAGATCATACATACAAAACGTACCTGAGTAGTGCTCGGCGGTGGCGCCCCACCCAAATGTGCGAATCCCAATCCCTCCCCACCACTTACACTGTATTCATGACTAGCTACATCTCACAACGGCAGTCATCTCAGAGAGGCTTAACCCCCCTCCACAAATCCCCACCACCGCTCGGCGAATCAGAACGTGAATGAGGAACAGATCGCCCACACACCCCATCACGCCCCCCATTGGGCGTTGGACCATAGGGCGAGGACCACACATGTCCCTGCCAGTTGCCCCATGATCCCCCTCCCTGAACTGTTGTAGAATGGTTCGTGATCCAGAGCTCCTCCCCACAGACCTTCATGTATAAGCCGCGATCAGACCACAAGCTTCAAAAAGCTATTTTGAGCGCTTCACCCTGCCGCCGGGGATAGTTTTGTCCTTTTGGTGCTTGACCGCTGTTTGACGCGAGTGACGCGCCTGACGCGGTGGGAGGACGCATTCTCTGAAGTCATGTAGTCCGGCCGCGGTGGGCTTTATCAATGAGCGCGAGCCTTCTATTTGATATATAAAGCACATATAACGATGATGTACGGCGATACCCACCCCCATGTTCTGGTTCACCAACTGCCTTGAGAGGCAGCGAGTGTATTGCAAGAGTTCCTCATTTACTCAGGCGCTGCGTCGGAGGAGTTTCGCTTTCAGCGGTCCCTATCGCCATGACACCACGCCCACGAGCTGAAGTTCTCACCACCGGCAGCAGACCTGGATCCACGCACCCTAACCAGTTACCCCGGCCACACTGCCCTTTCGGCTCTTCCTGCCTCTCGCGGCATTTTCGCAGCCCCTCTCCCCGCCTCGATCTCGCCTATTTGCTATCTCCCGGCATTGTCGGCGGCGCTGTGTCTGCGCGGGCTCTGTCCGTGAACATATTTTTACATACCTAACGAATCACCCGCATGTCTTCCCCCCCCAGCTATTTTGTTTAAATCAGCCAGAAACCTACTCCTACAACTACTCATACTAAACCAATCCCGGCCAATACCACCGCCGCAGTAGCATTCCCTGGACTTTTTCCCGGACAGAGACAGACCCTCTGTGTGTGCTCCAGTCACCTGCTAGGTTGCCGCCCGCGTCCCACAGCTTCCCAAGCTCAGCGAATGTCACTGCATCGGCGACAGCGGGGAATTGTTGTGATACGCGAGGTTGTGCGCGTTCAAAAGCTTCAAGTGGACGCGCGTAGTGCGCGACACGGAGCAGTATTATGCCGGCGTAACCCCGATGACGCCGGGGCATCGGCTTCACTGCGCGCTTCCCTTCAATATCCAGGCAACCTGCCGCCTTAATGACGCCGGAAGTTAAGTCCCGGTCGTGAACCGCCCTTAAGACACTAACTCGACCCCAGACCCTCGTGCATCGGCACCGGACCCCACACTTCACCCCACCCACGCAGGTGGGGAAAAAGAGAAGGAACACCAGAACCGTGGCCCGTTGTGCCGGCCTGAAACACTTCCCAGGCCGCGCCGGGTACAGATGGTCATTGTTTTCGTACCATGAAACCGACAATTGCAGACACGTTGACTAGCAATGAAAGGATACAGTCCCCTTCCCTATACATCATGCGCCCCGATCCAGTAGTCAGGAGGCGCGGTCGGTGCTCTGGGCAGCCAGGGATTAGTTTGATGGCTTATTACATCCCTGGTATCACTTTCTCATGGTTTTGATATTAAGCAAGGACCCCCATATACATCATTGTGTCATTCTTCACGTCCTAACACACCCATAATTACCGAAGCCATCCTTTGCTAATCCCAAGTAGTATTACCTTTTTATTGTAAGATTGACCATTCAAGATTACGAAGTGTATTTGGAGTCTCAGATTAGTGCTGGTGTATCCCCAACATTTTGTATGACCTCAGAGCACCTGAGTATGTGAATTTAGGGCTCTTCAAGACCCTTCATTGAAACTGGATTAACGTCATATATCAATCAAACCATTTTACAAACACTATATCAGTAAAAGTACACAGGAGTGTCACGACAGTATATCTTTTGCCTAATCCGTTCGTCCGCGCCTTATCAGGCGAGGCATATAGGACCGTGTGGGCGTATGAGAGAGTGCGTCCTTTCGGCCAGACCGTTGCTGGCCCATAGTCAGGGCATCGAGCAGGCTTCCCCGTCTCTGCTCTCGGACATTCACTTTGCAGGTATAAAGGCCCACTCACCACCTGAAACCACTTTGAACAAATACTCATGCACACAATCCGGCACCAAGACGCGTTATGCCTCAGAGGATTGGGCTGCAAACCACCGCCTCCCCCAGCATGGGAGGAATAATTACCAAGCAAGTGTAGCGCCGATCTACTGCAAGATGAGAATTATTTGAGCCGTGCCCATCCCACCTCAGGTTGAACGGCTAGTTCCCCGGCATGCTTGGACCAGAATGTCCCAAAAACTTTCCCTGATCAGATATCGTGCTAGTATTCCAATTAAGTCTGTCTGAACGTCTATCTACAGCTCACATCCTGCATAAGTATTTATGCATATGTCACCCACTTGTCACCCAGGAAACCGTCCAGACCCGTGGGCGTGGATAACCCGCCCCCACGGTCCAGTTGAGCCCAGCCCCGCAGCAACATGCCCATCCTGCACTGACCCATGCCGTATGTGGCGTCCCGGACACACATCACAATCTACCCCACTCACAAGATATGGCGAGTCTACCGACTTGCCCGGAGAGGCCTTTTGCCAGCCGTGAACTAATTCCCCCGACAGATTAACGCTGGAACCCTACACCGCATGCGCCACTAGCTCCCGCCAATGACCGCCCGCAGAGCCCGCTACACCCCCCCTTGCCCCCAGTTGTTTATTTCTCCACCAATCACCTGTGGCTCGTGGTCCATCTTGGCCCTTTTCGCAAACGGTACCTATAGATCCACACAATCACCCATATCCCCGGAGGCAATAGGATAGATAGAGCCAACGTCCCCTTCCCCCTATAAGACTATGGTACAGACAAAGACGATGTGGACCTTTGACATAGAATGACGCCTGGATTGGCCGACTATCCGCTAGGACAGCCGGGTCCGACCCT